GTCTGTGATGGGTACCTTACCTGTCGGTAACGGTCTGTGATGGGTAAATTTTGCCGATCGCAGATCATTACAGTGAGGTGATTTACTCATCACAGATCGTTACAGACAGGTGATTTACCCATCACAGAGCGTTACAAAGGTGCTTTGTCGAAGTCGAACGGAAAGCAATATTGAGGTGTTAAAGGTACACAGTTGGATTACTTCCACATATATTTTAATTGATGAATTAGCTAATTACGGTATAATTAGTTAACTACCGATAACAGACCCTAACAGATATGCGTTGGAACCATCATAAACGCGTTAGCAAATTCAGGGTGGATAGAGAGGAGCACTTATTATACACCTTGATGAATAGTAGCGGACGTCTTCGTACGGTCAAGGAACACATAATGCTTCAATATCAGCAAATTTATGACCTACTTGCATTCTTCATTTGTAGGTGATGCATTAAAGTGTGATGAAAGAAAAAGTTCAGAAATATGTAGAATAATTTGTTTTTCTGGTCAGAATTAACACTTACATCGTGTTTCACATTTTAATCCCAAAGGGATTGCGCTAACAGCTTTTTTGGTAGAATTGTATTGAATACTGTACGGTTAGAAAGAGCTCGATTTTTCGATCACTCGAGCATAGAAAGTTCCGACGTAGGCCCCACTTGTGAAGAACTTTGACTCAAACGAGAGAGGCCCAGCTGAGAATGCGCTGTTTTGTTAGTGTTTTCATTCATTTTTGGTGGTGAGGGAGAGTTCAAATATGGTTCTTAGTTGATTCGAAACCTAATGAGTTAACTGTCAAATACAGATCATAAGGGACCATGCGCAATTCTTTTCGCTCAGGCAACCGGTGGACTGGTGTGAGTGTGGGTGTGGGTATAATGAAGTGTCTATGTGCATGGAGTACTGAAGGATATGAAGATCACACCCCACACCCTCGATGAATATACATATTTATCAAGAGTTTTTATTTTGTGTTTTTTCATGCAGGCATGTGATATTTTTCAAAGCCGATCACATCTTTTAGAACTGTGTTGAGTAGGCTCTTTAACTATAAGAAGAGATCCAAGTATTGTTGTTCCTGAAGAAAGATATTTATATTTCAAAAGTAGCCCAGTTTTGATTGTGATTCCGTAGCGAAAATATGCTGTAACTCACTCTTAGCCGAAAGCAAGATATTTATGATTCTAAGAATGCGCGCTCTAACGCTGATTTTTTCCGCTCTATCTACAGAACTAGTTGGCTTTTGATAAAAATTCCTGGTTCGTTACAGAGAGCGTGATGGAATCACCTATGGGTTGAGCCAGTATGTTTCCCTAAAAACATAGGAACATTTTTTTTCTTTTATATTTTATCTTAGCTATATTTCTTATATAGGTAATGGGATTTTAGAGCTTCACTGCTTAATTCTGAAGTTGATTTCTGACAATTTGAAGTTATTTTTATTACCGCAATTGAAGATGCCATTTTATGGGTGATATCTGATATGTATCTTATACTTTTGAAATATAGTTTTCACGTTATCAGAATGATCAGCGTAAAATGACTTTTCATGATCACTTTTTCACGAGTAATTAGAGATACGCGCGGCAAAATTATTTTTGGTCCCTATCCCGACCAAAGTCCCGGCACTCTTATTGTGGTTCTGATCTATATCCGGGTGAAATTTCATTTTTTATTTCGGTCATGTGATTCGAACTAATCTACAGCATGTGCCTATTCAGAGAAACATGTTGCCGCATTGTTTTTTCACATTTTTTATGTTTCTTCAATACTCATACTTTTTATTTCTTTACTATAACTGTAACTTAGATCTATTTTTACTGTAAGTCTCCCTTACTTCATTTGGACTCCAGAGTACGAAATTCTCACTTTCTTCCTCTTGGCGGGATCCCTTTTCCTTTGGTCTTGGTCTCGACCGTGACATAGTTAAATTTTTTGGGGTCAAACCGAAGTATAGTTAATTTTTTCGGCCCTAGTCCCGGTTCCAGTACCGATGGGTGGAGTCGGGGCTCATTTTGTAAATATCTATGAGTAATACAAAATTTGTTGATTTTCGGGAATTATAGATAAATTCCTGAAGAAAGAGACACTCAAAAAACATGAACATTTTAAAAAAGTGATTCCGTCGCGAAAATGGTGATTCCGTTACGAAACTTTTTTCACTGTTCAAAGACATACTTTTACATATTTTTAATTTTCTTTTTTTCTGCTGATAGAATGACATCTCCACTATAACTTTCCTATTGAAAGTTTTTTCTTCGCAGTTTTAGTTGAGCTAGATTTTCCAGTTCTGCACGTAGGACTCAATCTCGAAGACCATTTTTGGTGATTCCATAACGGACCTATATTTTAATCATAGAATTCTCACAGAACCCATGCAGTCAGAAAAACGCTAAAACGGTGTTTCAACGCGTTTACGTAGAAAAACCCCGAAAAAAACGCATTATAACCCATCACTATCGTGAATCCAAATAGTTAACCCGTTAAAACTAGTCGCTTCTTATATAAACAGGTTTTAACGCATCGATTCGAATAAAAGTGATTATTTGATGCGTTTTAATCCATCTTGTTTTTAAAGATGAGAATCAACAATCGTAAATTTCAGAAAAAAAAATTTCTTTTCTTTAAAAAATGTCCTTTAATGAACAAAATGAGAGTCCAACATAGAGTAAAACAAAAATCTGATAAACTCTTTTTGAAACAGAAAAATCTGATACTGTCATGTGCTAGAACGTAAATTAGGAAACTGAAAGAAAACCCTCTCACCCTCATATCCTCATGAAGTCTGGTTTAATTCGATCTTTTCCATTAGAAACAGATACAACAGTCAACGCAAGCTGGCATGTTAGCACATGGTTGCCACAAGTCTTCAAAGCTGTATCTGAACGAAGAGAAACACGAGGTCTCATCTTTCATCACGATAATGTAAGACCGCGCCGAGCTTGTATTACAAACGGTTTTTTCCTAGAAAATCACGTAGAAGAGTATCCAAATCCACCATATTCCTCCAGATTTAAGCCATTGCGACTTCTTCTTATTCCCCAAACTCAAGAATCAGTTACGTGGAATTCAGTTTATCGACGACAACGAAATATGAACTGCTTCAGAACGAGTCATTGGTAGTCTCACAAAAGAAGGCTGTAAGAACTGTTTCGAACACTGTTTTTTTCGAATGCATAAATTCATTCATGCTGAAGGACAGTGCTTTGAAAAAATTGATTAAAATCCTTCTCTGAATATTTATCCTAAATGCTGTTGAAAAGACTTTTGTAGTGCCCCACGTATATGAAAACAACGCCACATGAATTATTGAACATTCAATTGCTTCAATAAAACACATGAAGGAGTTCTTTCCGTATTTCAATCATATGATTCCCGAACAGTACGTGCCTTACTGAAAAGAGAGAGAGAAAGGAGACAGATGAAAGTACAGTAACAGAGAACAAAAGAAATTGTAGCTAGACAAATGTTTTACATTACAACGACCATATAAAATAGTGACGGATTCGGTTTTTTTCTTAATCGCCACGGACTAATAATTATATCAAGAAAAATAATATGTAGAACATACACTTCCAGAAAATATTCGTTCTATTCGCTGTGATTGAATCTACCAATCGAATCGATGTTCTTTGTTTCTTTGTCTTGAAGAGCTAAGAACAGCAAAAGTGACTATTTACTGTGTTGTTCTGTTCTTTGTTATCTACAGCTCACACATATAGTCGATTAATTTAAATTGTAAATATCAACACAACGAAGTTTCGCTTAATTATTTAATTATTTATTTAATGATAATTTTTTTATGTGGCTTTTTATTTGCTAATGCTCGTCTTCGTTTGATTATCCTCTTAAAACAAGTGAATAAAGTAAGTTTTTTTTTTCTATATTAAAAGTTTTTTTTTACTTGGAAAATCGCATAACTCTAGTAATTCTTTCCTTTTTTTAAATGAAAGTCTCGTCAGTATTGAAATTATTATGCATTGCTTCAATAACAAAAATTTCGTTGACTAAGATTAAACCAATAACTATTAGAATGTAGAAAAATGCATATGACGATTTTTACAAAATTATTGATTTCTTTTTTATATGAAAGTATTTTATTTTCATTAAAAGATGAAATCAATAGAAAATTTTATGACATAGACGTTGTAGTAGAAATTAAAATTCTACTCAATTTCAGTTTCTATTGCAAT